TCAACGCTACAGCCCACAAAAGAAAAAAGTATCAAAGGGAGAGGGAGGCAAAACAGCTTTTAGGAATTAATTGAATTGCTCTGCTAATAAATTTTTTCTGTCAATCAGGTTGTTATTTGTATTTTAATGGCACTCGGCGTTCATGATTACAGTGTGCCATCTCATGCAATTCACTGGAAGATGGCTTCTCTGTTGAATTAAATGCAGCTATTTCCCGGCCCTTTGGTTTTTGTGAATTTAGTAGCTGTGAAAGGTGGAGATTGCAGTCTGGTATTTACTCACAGAACAGATCAAGAACCACCAGTGACAGTGACAACTAGCTTCCCTACATGTGCCTCCTCTCTGATCTTGAGGGACTTTTTTTAGAGGAAAGAAGAGAGTTCATTCTTCAGGCCTAGTCAGTCTTTCATCTCTCTGCTGAGGTTACCACAAGGGTGCCAACGAGTGCCAAGTATGGCTGTTGTTTTATCATGTGGTTACTTGCCCACACAAACGACTGAAACCATCAACTTCTGGAGCTGCTCCACTGTACTTTTCAGTCCTGATATAGTTTCACACATTTACATTGCCAAGAAAACCTTTCCAATCTTTGAGGGATGAGAAAGAAGATACTGCCAAAGGCAGGGAGACTGCCATGCAGTGGATCTGAATTGCTAATATCTTAGCCCCCAATTTCAGGAAATCTACATGGTGTTTTAGTGGCCCCCATGGGGGGAGTTCTCTCCAACATCACCCTCCTGGTATTGTTTCTGAAGCAGCCTATGTTAGGTGATCTGCAAATGATACTGGAAATAGGAAATAAACTGGCATGTTCTTGATGTGGCTGACAGGTGTTGGAGTAAGGATGGGAAGAAGGGGAAATCCAAAAGAGAAAGACTGGATCTCTTATTGGACCTTCACAGCATTTAAAACTCCACTGCACACTGCTGCTGCTGCCTCTTGCCAATGATATTCTGGGTTCAGCAAACCTTTATAGCATCAGAGTGCCCACTGGGTTATAATTTGTTTGTTTACCATTATCTCCTGAAAGCTAGCAATATATAATTCATCCAGAAACCGTCAGCTACAAAAAAGAAGATAAAGAAGCAAAAATACAGACACTCCTCTCCACTCTCTCCCGCAAAAAAAAAAATATGTGGGAGAGAAGGCCCACATTTGCCACTGACATCTGCCCTAGAAGTTCCTGCTGTTTTGTCTCTAAGAGTTGGTATAACTCTGCCTTCTTGTGTAGGAAATAGATATTTGCGCAGAGTTTCTGCATTACTGGCTTGATTCCCTGTAATGTCACAAACTGTAGAAAGTGGGAAGGGATTTCTGTCTTCAAATTGCTCAAAAGAGATATAGGTAGATCAGTGTTGCCAAGTCTTGTGCTATTTGATGCTTTCATTAAAGCCCCAGTGTCATAAATATAAAGGGAAGGGTAACCACCTTTCTGTATACAGTGTTATAAAATCCCTCCTGGCCAGAGGCAAAGTCCTTTTATCTGTGAAGGGTTAAGAAGCTCGGGTAACCTGGCTGGCACCTGACCCAAAATGACCAATGAGCGGACAAGATACTTCAAAATCTGGAGCGGGGGAAAAGGCTTTTGTCTGTCTGTGTGATACCTCTGCCAGGAACAGATCAAGGATGCAAGCCCTCCAACTCCTGTAAAGTTAGTAAGTAATCTAGCTAGAAAATGCATTAGGTTTTCTTTGTTTTGGCTTGTGAAATTCGCTGTGCTGGAGGAAATGTATATTCCTGGTTTTGTGTCTTTTTGTAACTTAAGGTTTTGCCTAGAGGGATTCTCTATGTTTTATCTTCTTTATATTATCTTCCATTCTGATCTTACAGAGTTGTTCTCTTATCTTTTTTTTGTTCTTCTAATAAAGTTCTGTTTTTTAAGAATCTGATTGCGTGTTTTGGGTGTTAAAAATCCAAGGCTGGTCTGTGCTCATCTTGTTTATTCTCAAGCCTCCCCAGGAAAGGGGGTGTAAGGGCTTTGGGGGATATTTTGGGGAAATAGGAACTCCAAGTGATCCTTTCCCTGTTCTTTGTCTAAATCACTTGGTGGTGGCAGTATACTGTTCAAAAACAAGACAAAGTTTGTGCCTTGGGAAAGTTTTTAACTTAAGCTGGTAAAAATAAGCTAAGGGGGTCTTTCATGCGGGTCCCCACATCTGTACCCTAGAGTTCAGAGTGGGGAAGGAACCCTGACATGGTGGCAGAGCAGTGGGATCATTTTGAACCAAAGATCATTTTGAACCAAAAGCACAGACCTGAAGAGGGTTTTTTTTGTTTGTTTTGTTTTGTTTTACTGAGAGCAGCTAGAGGGTTTTCTGTCTCTTTGTCTGGAGGCAGAGGTGTTAGTTTTTTAACAAAAGGATTTTTCTGTAGGCTGAGAACAGCTATCAGAGGCAAAGGTATCAGGTTACAGCACAGTGAATTGGGAATTCACAAACAGGTTTTTTTCCTTTCTAACTCTCGGGTATAGCTAGGTTAAACACAGAGAGGCTAGGATGACAGAAAGCAATGTCCAACAGAAACTGGAATTAGCCAGATTGGAAGCTGAGGAAAGACAGAAGGAACATGAAAGACGGGTAGAACTCAGACAGATGGAAATTGATGCACAACCAGCCAAAGAAAAAGCTGCTAGGGAGGCAGAAAAAGCCAGGGTGGAGGCAGAAGAGAGACAGGAGAGCTATGGAGGCAAAAGAAAAAGAAATGGAGGAGAGGGAAAAAGAGAGGAAGTGCACTGGAGATAGAGAAAGCAAGGGCTCAGCAGAATATACCGAATAACCCTAACAATCCTTCCTCATCAATTCATATATGGGATCGACTGTGTCCACAGTATGATGAATCCAGTGATATTGCTGAATATTTTCTCACCTTTGAGAGAGTGTGCACACTCCATCAAATTCCTGACGCTCACAAGATGACCACATTGGTCGCTAAATTGACTGGAAGAGCTCTGGACATATTCAACAAGATGCCTATTGAGGAGGCTTCTGACAATAATACATTCAAGGATTTGGTTTTAAAAACAATTTCAAGTTACACCTGAAATTTACAGAGTAAAATTTCGAACCCTTAAGAAGGGCCTGGACTAAGTAATGTGGCTTATGTAAACCAGATGAAGGATCTGTTTGATAAATGGCTCAAAGGACGGGATGTAAGTAGCTTTGGAGGAATGCGGGATTTGATGATACAGGAGCAATTTCTGAATGTGTCCAAGGATGATATAAAAACAGCGTTTATGGGATAAGAAAATGGACTCAGCAGAAAATCTTGCTTCATATGCTGATCAATATGAGCAGTCCCAGACAACCAGAGAGGCGAGGCAAACCGGAACAAAACGGGTGGAGGGAGGAGAGAGGAACAACCCTGGTCACAATTTGAGCAGATACCAGAAGGGACACCCTCAGACCACACCCTACTATCAGGGACAGCCTAAGGCCCCAACTACACCCCAAGGAACACTCCAGACACTTATCGTCCCACCACACCATTCTCCAGCAACCCACCTCGGCCCAGTGACCAGTCAGCTGGGCGATGTTTTAAATGTAACGAGCCAGGGCATGTAAAGGCCAACTGCCCCAAGAACCCCAACAGATTACAGTTCATTGCACCAGAATCACACCAGAGGTCCTCAGGCCCAGATGCCTCCCAGATAGCCTCAGAGTGGAGGGAAACTATGAGTGTGAGCGGGAAGAAGATTATCGCGTGGAGGGACACTGGAGCACAAGTGTCGGCTATCCACCAATCCTTAGTGGACCCCAACTTAATCAACCCAGAGGTCCAAGTGACGATTCAACCCTTCAAGTCAAACTCTTTTGACTTATCTACACCCAAGTTGCCTATCCAGCACAAGGGCTGGTCAGGAATGTGGATTTTTGCAGTCTATGATGATTATCCCATTCCCATGTTGCTAGGGGAAGACTTGGCCAACCATGTGAAGCTAGCTAAGAGGGTGGGAATGGTCACCCGCAGCCAGGCTAAACAAGCTTCCCCACCTATCCCTGTTCCTGAGCCTTCTACCAGGGCCCCGTCTGTGTTACCGGAGACTCAGATGGAGATGGTGGAACTGGATCCCCTGCCAGTGACTGAAACAACTATAGTGGAGCCAATTGCAGAAACCCAACCAAAGCCAGTCCCAGAACCAGAATTGGTGGAGCAACCAGCACCAGAACCATTGCCAGCACTGAGTCCAGCGCTTGCAAACCCATCTACAGCTCCAACACCAGAGGGCACTACCGAGCCTGCACTGGCAACAGCAGTAGATAAACCTACACAAGAGGCTCAGCCGGAGCCTGAACCGCAACATAGTGCACCAGCGGAGAGCGGTTCACAGTCAACGGAAACAGCCCCATTACCTGCATCACTTCCAGAGGGACCAAGCCCAGGAGTTATGAATGTATCAGGTACAGTGCACAAATGTTGGGGCCTGTATGTCTTCATTGGAATGATGTAGACTTGGCAAGGAATGAGCAGGAAGAGCTTGGGGATTCTTACTGTGCTGCTGTTTATACAGTCTGTGAAATGGGACTAAAGGGAGAACATCAGTTTACAGAGTTGCTGGTCCCTTAACCCTCAGAGACAAAATCACGATATTCAATGTGCAAATCATAATCAGAGATGTTCCTCTCTGCCTGCATTGAAGTCCACCTTTGTTTACAATATTTCCACCAGATCTCATTCAGTACTATTCACAGAGGCCCTGCCTTTCTCTCGGTTCCTAGGAGAGGGACATCCAGGTCAAAGATCAACAAATTCTGTTGGAAGGGTGGAATGGTGGAAATGTGGAAAAATTTGCCTGAAGACCTGAGACTTATGATTTAGGAAATAGTTGTACCCAATGTTCTACATTACTTAAGCCTCAGACTAAGAAAATCCAACAGTCTCGAACAGATTCCTCCTCCAGTTCCCCCAGCCCTTGGGACTCATAGTTCCTAAGCCGCTTCTTTCCTTCCCTTCCTTCAGACTTTTCTTTTGTGATCTGGGTCACTGTTCATTCCCTTGCTTACCTGTGATCAGGTTGTCCACTAGGGTGGTTGGCAGACAGAAGGTGCCCACCAGCAGATCGTGGATGGCCAGGTTGAGAATGAACATGTTGGTGACGGTCCACATCTGCCGATTTGTCAGCACGGTGACACCTGGAAGCATATTGCCAGTCATGCACATCAGGAAGATGAGGATGTAGGCCAGGAGGAACAGGGCAGCTATGGGGGCGGAGTGCTGATAGTGAGACGAAAAAGCGTACTTCTTCCTGAAGACACAGGTTCTGCTGTCATTCTTGGAGTATGGTGAGCTGCTGTTGTAGGGGAGAAAAATGTCCCCTGCGGGAAACAAGGTAGAAGAATAAACTCGTGAAGGCCCCATTTGGTAAAGGGATTATGTGATTCACATCAAACCTTTTCCAAGGCATTATGTGGTTTATTTTTATTTACATTTTCATGTTATATATATAAAAAAATAATGGTGCATGGTTTATGACGAGGCAAAGCTGGACAGAATAGCAGCATAAACTGGTCAAATGACTCAGCAGAAACCAATAAGCAACTAGCAGGTCTTTTCTTCAAGGATTAATATTGAATAAGAAATGATAAGTTGATAGAAAGCTGGGTTAGATTCAGTCCTATGGCCCCTGGATGCAGAGCCCATCCTTCCCAAAGACTTTCTCCCCACGTAATCACTATTATAGCTCTTCCACCTTAGGATCTGTGTGAGGGCAGCGGGAAGCTCAGCAGGAGTTACTCTCTTGACCATCAGGGCCAGGCACTGCAGTGCCCTTGCCCTATCACTGACCAATTTTCACTTGGCTCATTATTTGCTGCCCACACACACATTTGATAGAGATGTCATGAACGGTTCACACGGCTTGGCGAGAAATCATTCATAACTGATATTATCCCTGCAAAATTCACACTCGTTACTAGAGATGTCACAATGATTTAATTAACGCTTGCAAAGTCTTGCTATTACCAACTACAAAAAGCTACAAATGAGTGGCATCTTACTGCCATTTTTGTCTCACCTATTTTGACTAACACCACCAGTCTTGGTTATGCTGAGAAATAGAAGCAAGATCCCACTGCAACCCCCCCCATATCCCAACTGACTTTCAGCTGAGTGGAAAATGTAAAAAATGTGAGGCCCATTCTTTGCACTTTGCAAATTCACCCAGGTTCTAGCCCCTGCAGGTTCTTACAAAAACAGCCTCTTCAGGTACGACCTAGATGTCTGCCTCTCACTGAGAGAATCAAAGATGAAGTAGCTGTAAAGTGAAGATTAGAGCAAGATACTGGGGATCAGGGCCCACAGTTTGCAGGGGCCCTGGGCTCAGCAGTTAATCAGAAGCAGAATAGCAGGGAGTGGTACAGCATACAGCCGAGTGCTGTAAACTGACTTCCTGATGCAGTGGACTTGGATTGTCTGGGTTGCCTCATTCTTGGGAGGATGATCAAAGACTGACTAGCAAAAGCAGTGGGAGCTGGTAAACCTCATTGCCAGTGGTTTTGGTTTGTAAACTCAAAATAAGGGATGGATTGGAACCAAGTCCAATTTCACAGAAACCCCAGAGTTAGGAGTTTCAAATGTGTATTTGGATTTCAACTCATCTCCACTTAAGACTGGGAGAAAGACAAATTCACATCCTACAGGCTAGGGGGAGGAGGGTTAGGGGGAAAATAGAGGAGGTAGAGGAGGGTTGGGGGAAAGTAGCTTGTTTGGGGAGGCAGAGGAGAAGCTGTGCAGAAGGCTCCAAAACTTTGATGGATATAGGCTTTGATTAACTTTTATACACCCTTAATAGTCATGACCTGATGGGTCCTGTGTCCCTTGGGTCACTTAGGGGAAAGAGGAAGGCTCATAGAGGCTGCAAACCTTTTGCATTTTATTGTTATTAATTATAGGATGGGGCCAACCCAAGCCCCAGGTCCAAACAGTCTGTACTTTGGAGATATTCTGGCTTCAAACCCAGCCCTGTAGTTTTCCTGCTTGAGCCTCTGTAGTTCTTAACTACTCAGTTATTCTAATTGTGATTTTATTCCTCTCCTGTTGCTGGTGTCCTCTGAGCTTCCAAATTACTATTAACAGGCTTCTTTACAGCTTTTCTGAATGGGACTTGTCCTGATTAGTGTTTCTTTTATCGTTATTCCAAACACTTTCTCTTCCACTTTCTCTTTTACCCTTTCTTGTCTGCCTCTCCTGTACAACATTATTTGTCCTGAGATCTCCTCAATGATAACGAATGATGTCCGAATTAGAGCTAATGACCCTAGGGCAAAAAGGTGAACCTCACATGGTCATACTGAAGATGCCTTTGCAAACTCAGTTTCTTGGTCTGCTCCCGCAACTGCATCCGTAAAGACAGAGCCCTGAACTCATGGAGACGCAATTCAAGATCCAGGACCTTGTTTTGTTTATTTGAAAATGTGACAATCAGCAGTGATGAGAGATGTTATCTGGTCTATAGATGAAATGTAATAAGGAAAATATAAACCAGATATGTGAAGTGGCATGCGAACTATCAACTTCCCACAGGGAACACGTCACCTTTGCATTCCTTCATTATGATTAATAGTAAATAAGTATATATGGTACTTGGTGTGTTAAAGCATTTGATTTCTTTTGTTTTAAGTGACTGTAGAAGCAAAGGTGCAGTTGCACTTGAAGAGAAGTTCTAGATCTCAAACAAAAAGCTGCCAGTTCAGGTCTGCTCTGGAAAGTGTAAGAATGGCACCATAGGATTCCATGTTTATTGTTGTTCAATCATTTCTACATCAAAGCTGTTTAATTCACAAGTATTAAGCCCATCTCCTGCCCCCCTCCCCCCTGAAAAAAAATGCTGCTCCTCAAACTCAACCTGCAGCCTTAAAGTTCAGCTCCTCTTTCTGGCTCATGTATCACTAACATTAAAGATTAAAATTCTGATCAGAATCTAGTGGTTAATTCTGTTGAAGATGTTCAAACCAGAATAAACTCATTGTTTGTATTATAGTAGCACCTAAAGACCCCAGCTGAGACCACAACCCCATAGAGTTAGACACTGTGCAAACAAATGGTGAGACATAGTCTTGTCTCAGAGTTGACAATCGAAGTAGACAAGGCAGACAAAGTGTGAGAGGAAAAACAGAGGCACAGGGAGATAAAGGGACTTACCCAAGGTTGTACAAGTCAGTGACAGAGCTAGGAATAGAACCCAGTTTTCTTGAGTCCCAATCCAGGGCCCTGTACTGCCATTGTACCACTCATCCTTTGCCTCTGCAGGGCTGGTAGGAGCACAAATTGAAATTCATCAGCAGAGTATGCCCCCCCACAACTCAGAATTCACACAAAAGGAAGAGACTGGTTGAGTAAGAAAGCACCATTTCTACATACTCTCTTTTCATAGTCAAACAGCACTTTCAGGAGCTGTAGAAGTTACAGCACATTTGCTTGTCATGTTTGTGCATGCCAAGGATGTGCTTTTGGTAACAGCAGGATGCAGCAATACAGGCTGCTCTTCTGGTGTCACTGTGTGAACAGTGGAGTATAACTTGGCTTAAAGACTACACGTCCAATCAGAAGAAGGTACTGGATTGTGTCTGAGCTATCTCTGGTCAGGCAACTTTCATTAATCAGAATAGGTAATGTCGATAGTTAACATGGCCTGAAACTTTCCATTGCAAGACACGGTGTTCAGTTGCTAGACCTTGGCCAAACTTTAAGTGTTTAAGTAAAATTTCCCATGCCAGTTGTCTGCTTAAGGCAGACATTTTTTTGGAAAATTTCAGCTAAAATGATTGAGCCATTTTTGAGAACAAGATTATGGTAAAAATATATTATTCTGCCCCTGTTAAAAATAATTGCTATAAAACATTTTGTTGAGAAGCTCTAGCTAATCTATGCTTTGCAACAGGGACTTGAAATGTGGCCGGGGAGTCACCTTGGTGTCAAGGAAGTGTCTTTTGCCAACCCAAGGAAGATTTTGCCATATTTAGGTAAATTATAATCACTGAAAAAAAATCTCAGTTCACACCATGCTCAGTAGAGACTTGTTAGAATTTGGCAGCTAAATCCTCGGAAGAGTCTCTCTCTCTTTGCAATTGCTCCTTCCAGCTGCTGGGGGCCATGTTGGTGTTAGGCACAGGAAGACTCTCGTGTGCTCTCGGTGTTTCCCGTGCTGCTGCCCAGTAGCACAGAGGAAAAGGGAAGGAACTGCCTGACTCTAATGCAGAGAGGAGAAGAATGGGGTCACAGAAAAGGGACAGGAGCAAGAGAGGTCAGAGAATGGTTGGAGAAGACAGGAACAAGCATGGAGAGGGGCATAAGACAGGGATGGGGGAACGGCAGGAGCCATTGAAAGATGGAAATGTGTGTGGTGGTGAGGGGGAAGAGCAGGAATACAGGCAGGGACAGGAACCAGGGGAGAATAGCAGATGGGGAGGGGACAGGAGCTGGGGGAATGGAGGGATAGATGCAGAAGGGGACAAGGTGAGGCTGGGGTTGAAACACAGGCAGAAGGGTCACTAGTTGAAGGGTTTGAGTTGGGCACGTAAGTAGCCTTCAGTCAGGAAGGATGCTTTCCCCAGCATTTATTTTGATCAGTTGGGGGAGTCATCTGTGGGGGGAATGCGAATATTGAAAATAGGGTCCTGGGCATGTTATTTCCCTTGCTGATGTAAGGGTGTCTGAAAAGCCTGATTCACAGACCTCTGAAGTCAATTAAAGTCTTTCCTTGAATTTCATGGGGGTTTGGATCAGGATCCTTGTGTGATTATCCAGGCGTGAGCTGTTACGTGCTTATCCAGAGGAATCCACTTTGGTCACCTGTGATGTGATCCCAGATTATATCAATGCATTTCAGTGTGTAAACTGAAATTTGCTTTAGCATGAATCTTCAAACTGGTAAAGTTTTCTATGAAGAAAATTAGTATAGTATTCTCATCAAATGTGTGGTTCCACATATGTATGAAGCCTTGATAGCTGGTGGAAAAAAGGCTCCTTTCTTTACTCTGTACTTTTATTAAAATGGCAATTAAATTAAATGCAAAAAACTACATTATTGCAATTTTTAGATATTTCTAAACCCACAAGAGCCAGGAAATGCAAAGTTATGGCTTCCACTGCAACTATAACTTGACTAAATTTAACTTATACTAGGTATTAAGGCTTAAATATTAACAGCCTAGAGTAACTCTCTCTCTCTTTTCAGAGTAACAGCCGTGTTAGTCTGTATTCACAAAAAGAAAAGGAGTACTTGTGGCACCTTAGAGACTAACCAATTTATTTGAGCATGAGCTTTCGTGAGCTACAGCTCACTTCTCTCTCTTTCTCTCTCTCTCACACACACACACAGAGTTATGGTTGTTGTGGAAGCCACAGAATGCATGTTTCCTCTCCTCCTTCTCTCGTTCTCCTTTTCTGCAGTGTTAAATAGCTTTCCCATACATTTCACAGAAGACAAATATACCATAATAAGTTACGCTATAAGAGACTGAGCCAAAGCCCACTGAAGTCAGTGAAAAGATTCCTATTGACTTTAGATCAGGCCCTAAGAGAACTGAATTGAACACCTGCAATATATATTTGACAAGGAGATAGAAACTGGATGTCCTCACCTTCCATGACACAGCCTGACCCTGATTCTTGCTTCAGTATATTGGAGTGTTGTATTGTTTGCAGGTAGACTGGAGTCTTCAGATCAGAGCCACTCCTTTATGTTTCTCTTTATCTAGCTGCAGCCTCCTACTATCAGAGAGGGAGCAGCAACTCTGCTGTGGTGATGAATGCTATCTTGATCCACTGCACTCAGCCACTCACCCCAGGTTCTCAGAGCTTCAGGATAACTCACAAAAGATACCTGCAGAATTGGAGCTTTTTTCCCCTCATAAAATTCCCATAGAGTTCAAGGGTTCTCAATCCTCAGGGCAGTCTACTCCAGTTCCAAGGAAGGAGATGAAGGGAGGTAATATTTTTGTCCAAGTCCAAGAAGACAGTCAAGTGCAAGAACTATGTTAAAGCAATGGGGTTATTAGTTAAGGATGACTGGAGTCCAGGCTGGAGACTTGGTTAAATCCACAGACTTTGTGGATACTGAATTTGCAGCTATTCCAAAAATGCTTTTTTGGGGGAGGGAAGAATCAGAATCCTTTTGCAAAGACACCTGTTGAAATGCTTCTTAATGCTCAGTCCCTTTGATATAGTCTTTGTTATGGGATTAAGACATCGCAAAATGCTCCAGCCCTCTCACTCAAATAGCTCCAAAAATTTCTTCCCACCATCAGAGTTGTAAGCTGAACTCTTGGAGCTGTTTCCAGTTCAGCTGGAGAATGAAGCACATGTTGTTAGCTCATCAGCCCTCTTGCATTCTCTGTGCATGACTTCTGTCTCCGCTCAGCTTCTGCTCCTCAGACTCTCTACACACCAGCTCTTACTGCTCAGCCGCAAAGAGGCTGATTCTATTAGTTAGGGGCAAAGAGTGTGTGTGTGTGGGGGGGTGTGTGTGTGTGTGTGTGTGTGTGTGTGTGTGTGTGTGTGTGTGTGTGTGTGTGTGTGTGTGTGGGGGTGTGTGTGTTTCAGTAACATTGTCATGGTTACTGGAACACTTGCTGGATGTACAGGCAAACAGCTGGTCAATTAATTACAGTATCTGCAGCCACTCTCATTTATCAACTGGGCAAAGGGAAGGGTTTAGTCACGAACACTGAATAACAAGAAAAATCAGACTTATCTCCGGCAGCCTTTTCTGGTCTTGCAAGCTGATAGTGTGAGCTCTTGCACCTTGTCCAGGGAACAGTGTTTTAGTGGCACAGTGCCCCACAGAATCCGTTAACCCGAGTCCGAAGGGATTGAGTACTATCTCAACTTTTTGTCCAGGTAGCAACTGGACACAGAGTGACTCCTTCCCCTTGTGCCGGTGAACATGAGAGAAAAGGTATAGTGCTGATGAAGGAACGGCCAGCGAAGCAGATTTTCTGTGTTGAGAACAGGTGTCAGGATCCTGACAAGGGCAGTTAGGACCAAGGATCAGAGCAGCATCAAACCCAAGGCTGAGAGTAGTAGAGGAGTTCATAGCTAAGTTCCAGGCTGGGATTAATATCAACCATCAGAGTTCATGTCATGTGTCAGGGGCCAGGTCCGGAGGCAAGGTCCAAATCAAGCTGAGGTGAGAGCCAGGAGTTCAAGAGCAGGAACAGCCATGGCAGCTACAAGAGATCCAGTGTTCTCTGCTTGCTTCCTGGGCCGCTCCTTGGGCTTATATAGGGTGAGAAGCCATGAGGCTGCTGCCTGTCAGATCCCTTGAGACGGGACTGCCCATGGTCCATGTCCACAGCAGGTCATGGAGTGTGAGCTGGTTACAGCTGTTGCTGGGTGGCAGTGTGGAGGTGATTACTGTCTAACAGCTTTGCAGGACTGGGTTCAAGATCCACTGTGACTTACATTAAGGTAATCAATTATCTGCTATTTGTAAGTTTTCACCAAATAGCTTGGACACACACATTTCAGCCTAGGGGCTGTTTTTAAACTCTTCAGTTTGTCTGTTCCTGGGATGTGAGGGGAAGGATGGTTCAGCAGTTAGGGTGTTAGCCTTGAAGACTCATGTTAAACGCCCTACTTTGCTATAGTCTCCCTGAGTGATCTTGGGTAGTTCACTTAGGGCTTGTCTACAAGGGGCAATTTACCAGTATAAATGATGATGGTAAATTTCTCTGTGTAGAAAGGCTCTTAGTCTCTCTGTGCCTCAGTTCCCCATCTGTAAAATGGGGATCATAGGACTTCCCTACCTCACAGAAGTGTTCTGAGGATAAATTCATTAAAGATTGTGGGCACTTAGATATCACACTAATTGGGGATGGGGAATCAAATAATTGCCTTCAATAGATAGTTTGTGAGCTAGATGATTGGTCTACTTTGTCAGTTCTGACTGGATGCCTGAAACTTTTAAAAACAGGAGACTAATCATAGAACTGTAGAAATATAGGGCTGGAAGGGACTTCAAGAGGTCATCTAGTCCAGCCTCTCCTGCTGGGGCAGGACCAAGTACAGCTGGACCACCCTGTCCAATGTTTTTCTAACTAACAACCTGTTGTTAGTAAGTAGTGAACAACACACATTCCATAGAAACTTTCAAAATAATCACTAGTGCTAAAGTTTGTCAAGTTTTCAAGATTAACAAAATTTTTCACCACAGCAAGGCAAATATTCAAATACTTATGACTAATATGACTCCAGAAATAATGGTGGACAAAACTTTATTTCAGAAATCCATAGTCAATCTGCTTGCTATTTGGCCAACACTAGTCAGAACAACATTGAGCCATTTGAGTGTCCACCTATGAAAAAAAAAATACATGCGTATGCTTCTAAAGCAAAACAAGTCCCCCACCCTCCTTTAAAAGGTAAGAAAGTGATGGAAGTGAATCTTTGCCTGCTTTGCAATTCAAAGAGGCTCAGATCCTCCAATTAAAGGGAAATGAAATTATAAATAATTTATAGCGCTGTAAATATGCACAGCCCTTAGTGGTAGTGGTGGAATTGTGGTGGTTTATTTGGACAGAACTGAATATGCAATTGCTTTTTAGCGAAGGGGGAATTGTTCCGAGTCACTTTTTACTATTTCTGTAAAGTTGCCTTATTGAGCTGATTCCTACCAGCAGATGTCTCACTACTACAGAGCATGCCGTAGCCTGAAAGACGCCCTTACCGTAACCAAACGTTTTCACAGAGTGCAGAGTGGCTTGGCAGAAGGCTGCAGCATTGTCTATGAAAGAGACCAAAACTCTTTTCTTGGGCTGCCTGAGGATGAGAATGAGGATGGTGCAGGGAATATATTGGTTGTTCCCAGGGCCAGGAGGAGAAGAAGAGGGAAAGTGATAGCTCAGAGGAAAGATAAAAAAAACTGTGGGTGTACCATGCCTCTGCCAGCCAGTTGAAGATGTGGCACTACAAGGTTTGAAACTTGTAGTTTCAGATGAAACTTCAAGGTAAAATTAGAGCCAAAAGGTAACTACTAGGCTGATGATATAACAGGTGGTGGTGCTACTATTAGTTATTACTACTACTAGTACTATAGCCTCAGCCACCACCAGTCCACCTTACTTCTGCCTTCCTTCAGGCTCTCAACTCTTCCTCCTATACTTCCTTCCTGTCTGCTTATATAGGCCTGGGTGCTAGGGGGCATTTTCATCCAATTAGCCCCGCAACTGCATCAGCACTCAGTTAATTGGTCTCCTGTCTTTCAGTCAGAGCTGAATTAATGTAAAGAGGTGGGGATTTGAGTGACAAGATGCTGTGTTAGCGCCTGAGTCCGCACGCCCTGTTACAGACATATATAAGTATTTTTAACTGTCTTTGGTGCTATATGTGTCTTGTCCATTATGGAAAACAGTCAATTACACTGTGTACTTTGCTCTGCATTTCATATCCCCTCACATCTCCTGTTCTGCTCTTTGGTCTGCTCCTCGGCCCCTGCTTCTTTGCCACATGGCCCATTTCTCCTCCTGTACCCAGCACAACATTTCCTGATGCCTGGTTCCCTTCTCCCTGTACTTTCCTCTGCCTTGGGTGCTTGGCAGCTCTGGGCTGCTCTGTGGCTCTGGTCTGGTCCCTGATAGTTCCTATTTTCTCTTATTCTCTTAACAATCAGTAGGCTCTTTCTTATTCTCAGCTACTTTTACAATCCTCCAGGCTGTTCTTTGCAATGAACATGGCCCTGGTCTACACTACGAGTTTAGGTTGAATATAGCAGCATTAGATCGATTTAACCCTGAACCTGTCCACACAACAAAGCCATTTTTGTCTACTTAATGGGCTCTTAAAATCGATTTCTGTACTCCTCCCCGACGAGGGGATTAACACTGAAATCGACATCGCCAAGTTGAATTTGGGGTAGTGTGGATGCAATTCGACGGTATTGGCCTCTGGGAGCTATCCCACAGTGCTCCATTGTGACTGCTCTGGACAGCACTCTCAACTCGGATGCACTGGCCAGGTACACAGGAAAAGCCCCGCAAACTTTTGAATTTCATTTCCTGTTTGGCCAGCATGGCAAGCTGATCAGCACAGTTGACTGTGCAGATTTCATCAGCAGAGGTGACCATGGAGTTCCAGAATCGCAAAAGAGCTCCAGCATGGACCGAATGGGAGGTACTGGATCTGATCACTGCATGGGGAGACAAATACGTGCTATCAGAACTCGGTTCCAAAAGACGAAATGCCAAAATATTTGAAAAAATCTCCAAGGGTATGAAGGACAGAGGCTATAACAGGGACCCACAGCAGTGCCACGTGAAACTTAAGGAGCTCAGGCAAGCCTACCAAAAAACCCAAGAGGCAAACGCCCGCTCTGGGTCAGAGCCCCAGACATGCCGCTTCTATGATGAGCTGCATGCAATTCTAGGGGGTGCCCCTACAACTACCCCACACCTGTACATGGACTCCTGCAAGGGAGTCTCACGCAACAGGGATGAGGATTTTGGGATTGAGGAAGATGATGAGGAGGTGGAGGTTGAAGATAGCATACACTAGGCAAGTGGAGAAACTGTTCTCCCTGACAGCCAGGAACTGTTTATCACCCTGGAGACAGTACCCGCCCAACCCGGGCTCCTGGACCTTGAAGGTTGATAGGGAGGTGGAGAAGGCACCTCTGGTGAGTGTACCTTTGTAAATATAATATACGGTTTAAAAGCAAGCGTGTTTAATGATTAATTTGCCCTGAAGACTTGGGATGCATTCGTGGCCAGTACAGCTACTGGAAAAGTCTGTTAACGTGTCTGGGGATGGAGTGGAAATCCTCCAGGGACATCTCAATGAAGCTGTCCTGGAGGTACTCCCAAAGCCTTTGCAAAAGGTTTCTGGGGAGGGCAGCCTTATTGCATCCTCCATGGTAGGACACTTTACCATGGCAGGCCAGTAGCACATAGTCTGGAATCATTGCATAAGAAAGCATGGCAGTGTGTGGTCCCGGTGTTTGCTGGCATTCAAGCAACATCCGTTCTTTATCTCTCTGTGTTATCCTCAGGAGAGTGATATCATTCATGGTCACCTGGTTGAAATTGGGGAATTTTATTAAGGGGACATTCAGAGGTGGCCGTTCCTGCTGGGCTGTTTGCCTGTGGCTGAAAAGAAATCATCCCTGCTGTTAGCCACGCGGTGTGGGGAGGGGTGAAGCGATCATCCCAGAGAATTGGGTGGGTGTGGGGGGGTTAGTTGGGTTTGTGCTGCACGTTAACCCGAAAACATCAGCCCCTCCTTTTAAATGGCCAATGTGTCTTTTTCAATTTTAATCTCCCTTTTTTCCTCCTGCAGCTGCAAATGTTTCAATGCTGCGACTAGCATCTCCATCCCAGAGGCTAGCGCAGATAAGTAGGTGAAAAAAAGGCACTTGCAATAAAATATTCTCTGAGCTCATACAGTCCACCCAAACTGAAA